AAATTACCAGATTCAAGAAAATGTAGAAAACCATAAAAGAAAAAACTTTCCTATTATCTCTCCATATGCATATTTTATGAGCTGTGTCAATAAGCTGTGTCAGGATTTTTGTCTGTATAGCTAAAAGCTTGGAAGTACAGCCAGAACTCATAAAATAAAACCAAGATCGCAAAAATCTGATCAAACAAATTCAGAGATATGTAAAACATAGGCAAAATTAATTAAAGGGATTGTTTCGTAAATACTCCAAACTCAAAAACATGTAAGAGCACAGGAGAGCACAGTTCTATCATGACAGGACGCAATTTTAACACCTGTAAGAAAGTGCACGTGGCTGAGGCTAACAAGAATCAAAAAGAATACCCAAATCAGTACCTGGAGGCCACAAGTAGATATAAAAGAGCTAGGAAAAATAAGAGGAGTGACATCTAAATCGTACACTATGTGCAAAAGGAAACTTGAAAGAACACACGAAGAGCGCTCAGTAAAATAAAAAGCTTTCAGCCAGAAAGAGAATTAAAGCTTACAACAGTTGTTAAAAATCAATCTGAATATCTATAAAGTATTAGGAAAACAATATGCTAAAAATATTTTCGTAAACATGCAACATTATATCAATGGATTTCTGGTTCCCAAGACTTGGGAGAAAAAAAATCATGCACATTTTCTCTCATAGCACCTACAAACCAGGTAGAGAAAAGAAGAGACAAATAAGAATTTAATTTAATGTACTTGCACCTTCCTGTGCAAATACTAAAAACTAATTCTGCTATCAAAAAAATGAGAGGTCTCAACTCTAGAATTCATATCTTCATAGTGGATTTACTGGCCTCCACCTGAATGATTTAAGATAAGATATATTACTATATTTTGAAAATTCCATACGTGAAAAAGGAAAGCAAGAAGATTCTTCAGTCAGATGAAGGATTATGCTAAATGCCGCCATGTCTGAAGGAATTCAGTCTTTTTCAGAAAACAGTTATTTAGCACAGTTTTGAACTCACACTTTTGTTTTAGTTATCTGTAAAATTCCAGTGTAGCCTGCAGGTTTAGTTGCTGCACAATCAGCCAGAAACAGTTGGACAGTAATAAAAGTGGGCAAGTTATTTTACTAATTACTTTGTGCACCTCATACTCAAGACCACTCTTTGTTGCAACAATATCGTTGCTTGCGGCAAATTGTAGCAAACGTTCAGAAAGTTCAGTTCTCATAATAAGTAGTTTCACTATAATACAGATTTATAACATGCATACAATATGAAACAGAAAAGATGAAGAACCTGCTAACCAGCATTGCATTTTTCCCAACTCAGGAAATTTCCACAGGTAACAAGACATTGATTTCTCATTCAGTTTCCACTACATCTCTCCGTCTTGCTCTCTGATTCTCCATGAGTATTAGGGATAATATTATAGATAAGCTCAGCCTTCCTGCCTGATACTGTGTTTTCCTGGACTCTATTCATGGAACCTGATTTCATTAAGACTTCTTTCCAAAGGCTAATGCAAAAGAGGAGGAAGAATGATTACAATGAAGTTCCCTTCTAATCATATATAGTTCTCATTTAGTCACAAAAGTGGTAATCACTGCTTGAAAAGCAAAACTCAAATTGCAAATACACTGAAGATTTTTCTGCTACACATCAACCTTTCAATGACCATAAAGAAGTTCCTAATTTCTGATGAGAGATCAGACACTCTTACTTTTTCCTAATTTGTTGTAGATGGAAAAAAACACCTATACTGTCATTTAAATTTCACACGTTTTAAAACCATTCAGATTACCAGTGTTACAATTCTGGCCTTTTCCAAAAACACAGCAACTTCAGTAGGAATTCTGGCCATGAAAGGACTGTCTGCTAATTCTATGTAAAACAGTATGCAAACTACAGCTGGGATGTAATTAACTTTTATAAGTACATCATTACATTAAAGGCATTACATGTCATACATTTTGGTGCGGGTGAGGGGGCTTCTAACAACTATCTGATCTGCCTGTTAAAGCATCCAAATGGATTCATTTAATATTATTTCACATCCTAAATTGTACTGCCCTGAAGGATGTCAGTAATGTTAACTAATTATCTATTTTGCCAGGTTACTTACAGCAAAGTCCTTTCAGTTAAATCTAATGAAGACACATGTAGAAATTATTTAGTATGTACTTTTCTTTCTTAACTTGTACCTCGCCATTCCACTGATTTAATATGCAACTAACCTAATTTTGGAAACACATTTGTATAATTTGCAGTGACACATAATTCCAGATGCAAAAATCTTTTTCTTGAATAGGTATTAATATGAAAACTAAATTCTCTTTCATGAAATATAGGTTATCTGTTATGAAATAATGCTAGCACTTCCAAGAAAGCCAAAAAAATACTCTGAAATCAGCAGCAATTCATAATTTACAGTTATGACAGTCAATACAAATGTTAAGGCAGGATATCCTGAAGTCATATTCGTTAAATAATTTCAGTTATTTTACCATTTTCTTCTGGTAACGTTCAGCTTCCTACCCTGTTTCAGAATTAAATTCAGATGAAATAAACATCGCTGTTCAAGTCTAGAGACTAAATAACAGGCCTAAGACCAAAAAACGATCCATGCAGCTGGCAAAAATAAGTACTGAAATGATAAGGAATATTTTTAACTAAAAAGCTGTAGCAAATAATAACAACATGCAACTCAAGTTCTAATATAAGCAAAGAATTTTCACCAGTAGGTATTAGCAAATATTATGTTCTACAAAGAAAACAATTTTGTTCTTCATTTTATAGATGGGCAACTGAGACGCAGAGGAATCAAGTGCTACAACTGAAGGGATCAGGCTTAGTCACTCCTTTCCTTATTACTTTCCCAGGAAGACTGGCAAAATTCTGATCTTACTAGGAGTTTGTCTACTGTGAAGGAATGTATAACTGAAAACTAAGGCTGAAATCTAATCTTACTTTTAAACTAATTCTGATCAAAATCTGGAAAATTAATCTAAAATGGGTAGAAAATAATTTATAACAAACTTCATTATTTCTTACAGTTAAAAGACAATTAGCTCTCTGCGTCTAGCAACTTTAATTACTTTGAAGTTCTTAATAATTTACTATAAACCTCTCAAAATCAAGAACTCCGGTCACTACCAGAAAACATTCATTTCCTTTCGTAAGAGATATGGAAATGAAGTTTATGAATTATCTGACTGTTTATAAAACAGGGTATGTACAATATTCGTCATCTTTAAAAGAAACCTAAAGATGAACTCAAAGACAGGGATAAGGAAGTGTGTCTTCCAAAGGACAGAAAAAAATGCTTGATAAATGAAATATTTGAAATAGTTATGCTATTATTCAACAGCTGAAGCCTCTCTGGAACTGTAAGTACTGTTCCTTTTCCACCGTACTGAATTTTAGAAATAATTCTCTGTCGGGAGCATCTTAAAATTCTTAAAAGCATTGCTTCTTAAAAATCACTGCCCAATAACAGCATAACCAATTCAGTGAGCTGAAAAGTTCTCTTTCATTCTCTTCTATTCACCTTTTTTCAAATGCCAGTTTAAAAAACTTAAGCGTTTTTAAAAGGTACTTCAGAAACTAAACTAATAAACTGCTAGAAGTAAGTTTTTTTCCATTTTTTCTCTGCTCTGGACTGCACAAAAGGTAGCGTGACAGCAGCAGTCTTTGCTGCTCTGCAAAATGTCCTATATGGGTTATTACACTTTTAAAAAAATGGTGTGACCCCACATTCCTCAGAGCACAAAAGATAATTCACCAATACTGAAAAACTCTTTTCAAGAGTCTTTCCAAGGAATAGTTGGAATTGCTGGGATACTTTAAAAGGACACTGATGAATTACAGATAGCACTGTTCTCTGAGACCTTCTTATTTAGCACTATAAACAATATAGCTTAAGTACTGATTTTTAGATAGATACAAAAATTCCACTCTGCTCTGCTTTGGTCTAGCTACTGTCTGCTGTTTCTCACCCGATATTTATACTCCTTTCAGTTTTTAATGCTCCTAGTGACTTTAACAACTGTATCTTTGGACACATTTTATCTGACTGGCAAAGGCAGTGGTCTAAGCTGCACTGTTAAGAATGCACTGAGAGTTTCTTGCTCTTGAAGAGCACATCAGGGTGCACATCTATAATAGCATGTGCCTGCTACATGTTTCAGTAACTTCATAATTGCCCAACAAACACAATGGATAATGAGGAAGGAATCCTCACTGAACAACACACAGAGTGGTTCTACAACAACAAGAAAAATTTCAATCTAAAGATGCATGGAATCCAACTCCCTTCTGGCAGATCAGTAATGTCTTTTTTCTGATTCCCCCTTATTCTACCAGCTCTGCAGAGAAAGGCTACATTTGACTTTATACATGTAAATAAATATATATGTGCGTGTATATATATATATATACACACATACACATAGGTGTGTGTGTATATTTACACACACACACGTGGGTGTGGTCAGTTACAACTAATTCACTGAGATTTAAGAGTGATATACATTAAGTAAAGGAAGCACAAAGCTTAAGACTTGCCGGACCACAGCAAGGGAAAGAATATAACTCAGTCTCCCAGATCTTTGCTCAGCAACATGAATATATAGAGGAGAACTATGTAACTTTGCGTTAGACAAAATGCATTCGAAAATGCAGTTCTCAGAGTCAGTAGGTATAAATACACAGATTGAAAAGAGTGTAAATATCAGCTGTGAAACAGCAGACATGATCTGGATCAAAACAGAGTAGAGTTTCTACAAATCTGCACCGTGTTATTTATAGATGCTAAATAAAAAGATCTCAGAGAACAGAACTGTTTGCAATTCATCAGTGTCCTTTTGAAGTATGCTGGGAAATCCATCACCTAATCCTTTTAATTGTTAAAGGTAAGTTAATGTTGATTAAATTAGCACTAATATACTCAACTTTGTGCTCCATCATTGTGCAGGGTTCAACTTGATAAAGCACTTAAACTACAAGGACAAGTAGTACCTGCTATTTCCATAAGTATAGCCGTATGATCACTTTCTGCCAACTTCACAAATCCAACTTCATTTTTGAAGTGATCAATTCCTTGAAAAGACAAATCCACAGTTTTTCCTTTTAGGAGATCTTCTACCAAGTCTTTGCTGTCTGAAAGAGCACCAACTGCTCTGTTAAGAGGAAAGAAAAATATCTATGTGCAAGTCAATATTAACACATTTACACTCCTATTCATCACTCTATTCAAAATTCTCATAGAGCTTTACTAATATCAATTGATTATCTACTTAAGTATTTTTATACTACTCCTTACCAGTGCTATCAGTATTATTTTCACCATTTTATAAAGGTAAATAGCTTCACACAACCTGCTGTAAAACCACACGAACAGTGAGGCAGACTGAGCAGCAGGTGTAATTTCTGAAACTAGTTTAACTCAGTCCTCAAAGCAACTAGACATTAAGAATACAATGTCTCTGCGGCTTTGTACGCCCAATTTAAATAAACTGCTTATTAGGAAGCAGCTGGTCTTCCATTCTTAAACATTATACTTTTGTTCATCTTCAATCTAATAAAATTGCTCAGATCACTTAACGACAACAATATTTTGCTCAATGCTCAGTTTGAAACTTCCAACTATAACTTTTTTTTCCTTTTAAAATTATCCCATACAAAAAAGTAGTCTGAATTTTATTCCTTATATTTGTTCCACTGGGGGGAAGACAATTTTCCCCATTTTCCCCTAAAAAAACAAATGTGAATCTGTACGGTGCTGGTAAAACTCCCTGTCAGCTATCTCATACTCTACTTCGCTAAAGCCTCCTGACATCTCAGCTGAATGCTCTTAAGATTCTGCCTCATTCAAAGTTACTACAGAATGTTACTTAGTATTATAAACAGAGGTTACTGACTCTTTATACATACATACACACGCATACACATTTATACATACAAAATGATACAGAAAATGACCGTTAATCTCCTTGATGCTTACTCTCTTTAAGAGATAAGTAGCATGCACATATAATCTACATAAGACTTAAGAAACAGGAGCAAGCCTGATAACATTTTAATAATCATTCTAATTAGCCATATTAAATACATGTACATTAAATATTTGTTTTGAACTGCACTTGTTTTGAAATGATTCATCTGGTAAATAAAATATACATACATATATATTTAGTGCCTTCTAAAAGCAGTCTCTCTCACACATTCAAACTTTTGAGTTCTGTTCAATGAAACTGAATGTAAACTTTTTATTTCACTAATCTGATGCTGACTTTTAAAACACTAGATGGCAGCAACAGCTTAAAAACTCTCAAGAGAGCTTATTTTAGTCTTTCTACAGTATCTGGAAGAAAGCAATCACCATGATTTTTGATCTCTTTCTTATCATATGAAGTAGGCTAAATTACATTCTTTATGCCTATACATTTATAAACTACCCTGTACGGTTTTCCTTTATGTTTACCAAGACAGAGTCTTGAATGAGAACTAGGCAGTTACCTGAAACTTAGGCCAGGTAAGAAAGAAGTAGTGCTAATTACACAACTGAAACTCCTTGACTAATATGCTCCTCTCATTTTTCAAATGGTTTCAATCTACAGCCTAGAAGTATTTTAGCTCCCATATGGCCATTTTAAGCAACAGTGCAACTACTTGTTCCTTGACAAAGACATAATATTTCTCTTTGCGTATAGTCTCTGCCATTTACCTACCCTTTCATCACAATTAGACAAGACTGTTCTACTGTCTCCTGTTTGTGCTATACTTGAAGACCTTTCAAAAACACCATCTAATATAGATTATACCTGTCAGATTACTTCACAGGCCACTACTTGCAGATTTCTTTACCAACATGAACCTGAAAAATCATTCCAAAACACGTACAGATATTTCACGTATACTGTGTCAAAGATTGCGGTGACTTTCAAGTAGTGAATCATGCAGACAGCTAAAATCTATCTCTGAATTTCTTGCATCTGAGAACTGGTACACAAAGAGCCTTCAGCCCTGGAAAGCTTTGTTCCCCAACTGAACGAAGATTTATATTTCCATACCATAGGGTAGGCTGCAGAAATCACTGACCAGCTCAACTCTACCTCATGAGGTCTGTGAAAGGTCAATTCAAATAGTGCAGTGCACTTTCAATCTAGCACTGTGTCACTGAAAATTTAGTTCTGTTTTTTATTTCATATATAACCTTGTAAATGCAGTAAAATATTTAGAGAAATTGTTATCATATCACTCTAGCATATTTTTTATTTTTGTATTCTATCAGTCATTTATAACATCTAATCATTGCTTTGTAAGAATAGAGCATAGGGGCAAACATTACCCCTGACTTCAACAGTAATAAACAGAACAGTGGTATTTTCTTGTCATCGCATACTCAAGTAGTATTTACAATGTCTAAAATAATTTATTCTGATCAAAGCACACTAACATAGAAACATGGCATCGTTACACTCAGTGGCATTGTTACACTCAGTACTCTCAGTTAGACGGTACACCAACCCAAAGGGATAACAAGAAAGCTTACAAGTATTTTACTCCAAACTGAGGTGAAGAAATAACAAAAGGAAAAAAACCAAAATATTCTAAGTATATACAAATGAAGATTGCAGAAGCAGTGCCTCTTGTTTTCTGCATTGCTGTAATGTAAACATTAAAGTACTTAAAATTTACCTAAGTTCTTGTTAGAAATTAGCTGAATTGTTCACTTAGAATTCTTGTTAGAAAAAGCAACCTTACGAAAAAAGCCAAACTGAATCCTTTCAGCTCTCGTATTTATAATGAAAAGGTCAGATTCTCAGAGTCTTTGACAAATAACATGCAAGATGGACTGCGACACTACACTCTGGTAATGAAGGTATTTACTGGGAAGGCAAGACTCGTAATTTCTAGTACCTGATCCCATGGCTGCATACGCATGTTACATTAAAGTAAATGGATAAAATACACCTAGGTTGTTAGCATAAATTAGAAGTCTTTCCTTTGAAGGGAGCGCTGTTATGATCATCTTTGCAGGTTTTTTTGCTTTTCTAAATCTCATATTCTTGATTTCATATAGTTTTACAAAAAGGATGCAAAGCGCATTCATGGAGGCTAGATTATAGCCTATCAGTTAGGAAACCTGCATGGGAATTGCAGGTGTGGATTCCCTTAGAAGGGAGACGTCTATAGAACTTTGGGGCCACTTTCAGGGCCAAAGCTGTATGTACTGAAATACCACATAAAGGGAACACCATTCCTATCACCACTTTGTATTCTCTGTTTTCGAACTGAAGTTGCTGCTATACTTTGTATTACATTCAACACCATTTAAAACATTCTTATCACACATTTGGACTTCAAATAACCTTCAACGCATTTCATTTCTGCATAGACAGAGATGTGCATTACTGTGCACATACAGTAGAAAAAATGTAGATATAAGTAACTAATGGATCCAAACTCAAGGATCTGTGAACTCTCAGATGCCTACTTACTGGATGCAGTTTGTTTGAAGGATTACTGTAACCCTACATTACACACAGGTTCTTTTGTCAGTCTGGATCTTGATTTCTTTCCCTTAACTTGTTATCAAAAATCGGCGAAGCAAAGAAAGTAAAAATCAGCTTTTTACTCTTCAAGTTCTCCCAAAATATTAAACAGAAAACATTAACTAGGAAAAAATAAGAATCACAAATAATAGAAAAAGTAATCTAGAATACCTGAAGATAGCTGAGCTAGATACCTGCAGGAGGCACCTGGCCAGGGAAGGGGCGAATCACTGAGGGAGCTGCTGCTGACTAGAGGACGGGTCCTGAGTGCCTGGACTGTGGAGTTCTGCTGGGAGAGGCAGAGAAGAGCTCCATCAGTAAGTGCTGGGGTGACAGTCAGACAGTGAGAGCCAAAAAGGAGCTCAAGGAGTCAGAAGATACTGAATCTGGGGACATTTGTTTTGACAAGCTGCCCAGGACTCTCTAAAAAGTATTAATGAAGAGGCATACTGGCGCGCAAGCTCTCCCTTCACGTTCCCTTCTAAAAGGTTAACGCTTAAACTCTTCCAAAAAGAAACCTTGCTGACACAGTTGATGGTTGTTGTCATCAGCTTTCAGGTGCTACCGCTGCTCGCTCACCGCTCAGGGTAGAAGGAAGCTGCTACACACACTCCAGGAGACAAAAGGATCATGCAGAAGAGAGCAAGTCCAGCAGATCCTGAATTCTTTGGTTTCCTTTCTATTTTTTGTTACCAGCTATCTGTTTCTCTCCCTTCAGATCAGTATTGTAGAAGAAGGCTGACAGACTCTGGCTGACATCCTCAATGGAGAGATAAGAGGATAGAGGCCTGAAGGATTTAGTATTACAACATTCAAGAAAACAGGTGTGAAAAACAACCAGGGCAATTGGCTTAGATATACTGGTATGTTGTTATTTTTAGCTGTGTTAAAAGTTTTCAGCCACAATACTTCCTATGTATTAGGAGTATGCCTTTGACTACCAAATTGTTTCTACAGTCTGTCATTGATTCGGGCTTTCTTATGAGCAATCTGTAGTTTAACAGCCAAACTTTCTGGGGAAAAGAATGATTCAACACATGCGCTTACTATTAGACATACTATTTTGTAACAACATTACAATATCCAAAGCTATGTCTCACTGCAGTTATTAAATATTTGACCTAGATAAGTCAGTGTATGGACTGCACGCCTCCCACTGCAGAGAAAGCCAGTAAGATATTATGACACAGGGCCCTTAAAAAGAACTCATCTGGGGGGAGATGAAAAAGTAAGGCTTCTCTTTCACGGCATTACAAGGATCTGATAAATCTGGATTCATGAGCAAACCCTCACAAAACTGATACATAAGCAATGGAGGAATCTCAGACGTTCTTTTAATCCCGGCAGACCATTCAGCAGCATTTGGTTACTGTAACAGAGCATTATGCAAAAGTGTTTGCAATCTCAATTCTGCAACTACAGGGCACAACTACAGAAATGTCATATATGTAGGCCACTGGGTAGCATATCTAAATAGAAGATGCATACCTGGTCAGGGAAAGTCTGTGTAAAGCAAGACTATGAAATGCAAAACAAGTTTTCATTTCAAATCAAAATTACAGCTAGGTAAACAAAGTATTACTGTGAACATTCATAAATTACAACTATATAGATAGGCTTAAAAGAGCGTGAACATCTTCTTATTAACCATACATTAAAGTAGGCTTATCAGATGGCAGTACAGCATGAGATAAACAGTAAAATACACTTTTTTTAAAAGCAGTCACATCTCACATTTATACACATACATGATGTGATAATATAATACACAACTTTTCTACCTTTTGCATGATCAAAAACTCAGCTATATCACTGAAGCAATATAAAAATCATGCTTTCAGTAAGGCCTAATAGCCACCTCTTTTCTAGTCTACTTACATTTCAACTTGAGTATACTAAATTCATCTAATCCCATGAAACAACTCTAACGACATGAAGCATTAGCTTGTAGCTAAGGCTTACTTCATTGAAGTCTTTCAATGACAGTTACTAATTTGCCCTATAATATTCTGAGCTATGAAATACTGAAGCTTCATATACTGAGCTTCAATACATAGCTTCATATACTGAGCTATGAAATTCTGAAAGTTCCCCTAACTGTTAATCTGTTTAACACCCCCTACATCAAAAGATTGTTTTGAAATAATTACTTCAGCAAACCTGAAAATTGTGCATGCAAGTTCAGGACACAGTCTGAAGAATGAAAGAAAAAAGCGTGCCCTGTGCCCAGCTCATGACATCTCACCATAACTTAAAAAAGCTAATAATTGAGACTAGCAATTTAAGAATAACATTAATAAAATATTCAGTAACCCTAGTAATGACAGAAAATAAGCATTAGTTACCCCTTCTAATATTTTTATGAACTCCACCAACAAAACCATTTGTATATACTTAGTTTAAAAGCAAAATACCTACGTGCTAACTTCTTCTTTACTGGATAAATGCATCACCAACAGTGTGACATGCAACGACCCACAGTGAACCATTGCTTTGGAAAGCCTGTGATCCTTTTGTATTACTGTGTCTTGGACAGCCTGAACACCGCTAGTAATCTGGGAGGAAAGAAATACACAGAAATAACAGTTAGCAATGACAGTTGCCATACCCCATAATGCAAGTGAATAAGAAAGCACACAAACTGAAATTAAACATTTACGTAAACCCTTCTAGCAGAAAAAGTTTCATGCTCTGATGAAGTTTCATGCTCTAATTGGCCTGAGTAAACTCAAAGTAGGTGGAAACAGAGCGATTAGTAAATAGCTGGTCATTCCCCCATCACATCTCAATAGCAGCTTGCAGCCAGAAGTATGACAAATTAAGATAATTCAGTTTTGCACTGCAGTAGTCCAAATCAGAGACTTCTTCAAGGACTTTCTCCACCCTCTCTGCCAAACTTTATGTTGTTATGGGCAGAACTGTCTCAAACCAGAAAGAGCTCTTCGCAGGATCAGGCTCGTAGGAAACAGAGGAATTTTCATTACATAATTTATATCTGATTTACAATTCTGAGTATGCTGTCTGAGAGAGATATCATTTATATACTCTCTTCAAATATATTTTAAAGAATTTCTGCACAACATTTATACAGTTATAATACCATCACTCTTTTTCTTTAAAAGCACTTGATTTACATTTTCTTCTTCAGAAATTACTCGTATAGTTACATGTTTTATAAAGTGTATCCAAAAACGTTTACTGTGCTTGCCATTACAGTAATCCAGTTGTAGTCATTTAAAAGAACCTGCAAAAAAGCTTGAGTATGTTAGTCAAAATTAAAATCAAACCCAAAAAGCTTGGCCCTTTGATAAAATGCGTGATTTCTTAAATGATGGAAGGCAAAAATACTACAGACAAATCAGTTTGGGTGTATATAAAAGAATCATTTAGAAAACTTCAATCTGATTTTTCATTAAAACTCACTGGGGAATGCTTTATAAATATACTGTACATATTGACTTTCATAACATAAGCACAAGTCACTTTTAGGTCAAAAAAAAGCCATGATATATTTTACTAATTCTATTAATCACAATGAGCATATAAATTTAAAAAAAAAAAAAGCACAATCTAATAGCAATGGTCAGTACCATTGGGACGCACGCTCTTAAGACAAGTTTTGCCATGCAGGAGTTTTACTTGATGTGCCACATACATTTAAGTAGTGCCATATAAATAAAACCAAATAATAACTGAAAGGGACCAACTCAGAGGAGGAAGGGAGAAGAGAGGTAAAATAACTTGCCAAAAAAAAAAAATCATCAAAATCAGAAGTGTCTTAGGTAGTTAAGATATATGAAAAAAAAGGTGCCAACACTCATCATAAATCATGTTGCAATAAGACCATCTTCCTTTACAAGTCAGAACTTATCTTATCCTAGATAAATGAGACTTTTATCGTATTCTCAGATGCAGGAAAAATGTAACCCACATTTAAACAAAACATTACACCAGTAAATATAATCCCTAATAATTACAACGTAGTGACTACATAAAACAAAGAAGATGCAGTTATCCAGCAAAGAAAAAAATCCTAAATTTCAAAAATGAATGGTCTCTGACATCAATTACAATCTTATTCCATTTTCAACTATTGTTTCTAAATTTAATGTGCAGGTGCAGAACCTGAGAGCTGGCAAAGGAAAAACGTAAGTGCAAACGCACAAGCCCGTCAGAATACAGAAGACAGGTGCTAAGAGTTTGGAACTGTGCTATCATAGCAATAAGATCATCCTAGCGGTAAAAAGAGATCAGTGCTATTCAGCAGTCAGATTTTCAGCCAATGCCTTACAGCCCCTCAGCCATATACTTTCCTGCTCATGGTACCTCTAAGTCCCCTCCTGCTCGTGTCCTGAACTCCCTGCACTACCCTCAGCTCCTGTCACATACTTCAGTTCTGGCTCGGACAAGAAGCAGCACATGCTATGGCTAACTCTCAGCTATATGGGGTTGACTGACTAATGAACATGCATATGCATTCACTGGTCATCTGGCAGGTCTAAAAGAATAGGCAATTGCCGTTCTCACCACAAGCCTTTAACTCAGCAAGCATGTTTCTCCAAGGCTCTCTCTTTTATGCAACCATCGCTTCCACAAAAACTGCAGGTAATTAGCCCCTCCCAGATGTCAATCTTGTTATCCAAATTTGGACAAGAGGTACAAAACCCACAAAGGGGGTTAAAACAAGGCAAACAGATAGGAAAACTCACAAGTGTGTAAGCTCCATTAGGAAACCAACTTAATGAATAATATACCCTTGGAATAAGATTAATTCCAAAGATGGTTGGATAGCAGTTTCAGAGACAAGCTATTGCTAAACACACCAGAAAAGTATAAAATGAGCTGCCCTTTCACTAATAAAAGCAAAACAGAAAGAAGACAGAATATGTTCTCTCTCTCTCTCTCCCTCCCTCCCTCCGGGAAAAGTCATAAAATTCTAAACAATCTACACTTTTTGGGGGGAAAAAAAGCTCAAATATATTTTTGTGAATTTTGAGACATTGTTACTAGAATTTATTTTTGTGTGCGTTCTTCCAGAAGTTACGTGATCAAAATGTAATACAACAGTTGCAGAGTAGCCATCACTATGCAGAATCTAACTTCTGATTCCTTCTGTTTTCTTCAATAAATATAAGGTGAAATTAACTGTCAAGTGCAATGAATTTAAATTACACAAACCAGGACTCTTCCTACTTCTCTGTAATAACTAGTTATGATCCACTGTATAAATACCTAAAGTGCTATATAACCACCAATTTACAGTACATTTCAAAGTTTTATGCTAAATTTCATCTGCTACCGTACTGACCATTTCATTTAATCTGAGATTTCATAACTTAAGCAAAAGAAACGTCCAAGAGTAGACCATACCCACCCATTCCCTTCTCAGATTATTTTTAAAATTGCCCCAAAACAAGGACCCTAATACTGATTTCAAGGTCACCTCACCCATTGCTTACAATATATTACCCTGAAGAATAATGAAATAACTTAGTTTTGCTTCTTGCAAGAACACTACTAGGAAGTGACTATAAAGGCTGTAAGCTTTAAATATTTAACAGATTAACTGTACCTAATTATGATCAAGACTGAAGGACCCTGAAAGAGTAAATCTACCAACTGATAACATATTAGATGAGACATAGCTTAAAAATAAATTACCAAAAAAGGCTATATTTATAATCATTCGTTTAACTATTTTTACAAAAGTAATAATACAAAGTTCAGCCTGAATTCAAAATTAAAGGACCATCTGAAGATTCAAAACATAACTAAAATGAAAACAAGAAAAATGTTTAATTTCCGAGAAGGACAGTTCATTAAGTATTTCCAGAAATATCCCTTACTACAAAATGCTCTTGGTGTAAAACTTTAAGATACTACCTATAGTATGAAGAAAGACTACAAGCACCTAAAATACTTTGCTAGAATAAAATTAGATCCTCACAAAAGAAAAGTACCACTAGTTATTACCAGCTTCCCTCTGGCTATCAAGACACCAGGTGTTTAGGTCTAAATTTTAGCTAATGCTGCCTGTACACATTCCAATGTTTATTTTCTACTTTCAGAACAACTCTACATCCAAGGCAAGTAGAAACAAAAAGTTATAGTGAAGTCTTGGAATTCTCAAATGCTTTGAGACTTAATATACTTGTTCCTTCACCTCTGTAAATGACAGGAAATTGTAATTACTAAATACATGACATACAAAAAGCATGCATAGTTAAGATTTTTCCACTCAGTCAACAACTCAAAATAGTAACAGTTGTGACCAGCAACTGTCAATTATCAGATTATATACCCCCTACTTTATTCTTGCAATTGTTGAATCATGAGAGATGACAGGAAGAAGAGATATTTCAGAGTAAGATGACATAAAAGGTCTCCCAAGTTATTTGGGTCAGGGTCTCCTGGAATTTTATAAAACAAGTCTCTATAATCTCTTTTTCATGTAAAGTTTTTCAAAGAATCAAAGACTACACTATAATTTTCAGATCTAGTTTGCTTTTATTTTCATTTCAGATTCTCTCAATCTCTGACTTTCTCAGAGGATGGGTAGCATAGGGTAGGATAAGTTAAAAATCACCTGGGAGATATCTGCTGACAATAAAAAACAAATCTGAACTAGGAAATGGTGGTAAAGTGGTGGGTTTAACATTTAAACATAATACACCTACTTTCCTTGCTGAAGACACAGAAGTTATCACAACAGCCATATCAGACAGGTCCCACAGCATATAAGCAATCATCCTCATCTACTATTAGGTCAAATGAAACAACATGTACTAACTACAAGAAAACAGATTTTCTTAAAGAGTGCACTGCCCTTTTTCAATTCATTTGAAAGGCATCTGATTAAAACAATAGCTCTTTTATATTTTAAATACGATGATATATTTCACTGGAAAGTTGTTAAACTACTAATTGCCTAGTTAAAAAAGCAATGGATTCAATTTTAAACAAAGATGTTTTATTCTTGTACATAAAATTGAAAAAGGGATGAAGAAGTGAATTTCTCTTCTGAGATGCTGCCTTTGTAGTAAAGGGATATCTCCTGGTGCATTTAGTTCTTGTACAGGTCAACTGTCTCACAGATAGAGGAAACAACAACTTATGGTTAAAAGTCTAATTTTTTTTTCTGCTAGTGCTGCAAAGTCTTTCTGCAGAACCAACAGCAGGATCAGGACTAAAGCAGACATTGTTACTCAAATTAAAATTTGACTAAGGTAAATAATAAATCCCTAAAACATACCTTCTCCTTCACTAAAACAAAAACAAGAAAACTGAAAATAGGAATTTACAATGAATAAATAGCTTGAACTGAGATGATTTCTTTGTTAGGAACTATGCATTGAAGTGAAATTCTCAGTTTTTAAGCAATATAAGAGTATGAAACTTCAAGAGCTTAGAATGCATTGTTACATAAAATAAATTCCTACCTCTAAGGAATGCTAAAAATATATTGCTAGGGATTTTCCTGTTTAAATAAAACGAAATGACAAAATAACCAGTACTGGAAACCAAGTATAGAGGGGAAAATTTAAACCAACTTCAATCAAAATTATGTAAAAACCATAAAACTGACAAATTTAATGCAGAGAGGAATGTTTTTCTCTAATCTTTTCCAGATAAACCTTTTTATTCACAAAAATGGTCAGAAATAAAAAGTCACTATTTGAATAGAAGGCTAATGTTCTTTCAAAAATACTTGAAAACAATTTATTTTGCTCAAGATCAGACACTGTTTTTTATAAATACAAGCACATGCTGAAATAATTTTGGTTATACTAAATTAGTATAATACAAGAATACTACCTCTGGATTAGTAATTGGAATAGAAATGAAATAATTTGGCTGAGATTGTTTTTTCTTTTTCTTCTTTCTCTCACTATCTTCTTCATTTTCTCTTCCAGTAGTCCTCTTTCTTTTCTTTTTTATATTTACTTCAGAGGTTGAACGTACTGAAGAAAAGAAAAAAAAAAAAAAACTACAGTCAGCATGCAGACAAATCAGAACAAGCATATACTTTAAATCCTGCCAACAGGAGCTGGACTTCAGTCAGCTGACGGGAGAACATCTTCCCAGGCATCTGATGTGCCTGTGCGCTGAGCTGTCTGATTGGGATGCCACTCCAACTTGAAGTTAACATTGTCATGCCAGTAGAGTACTGTACTTGAACAGCCAATACCTCTAAACAGGGCCTACTGGCTGCTAACCGAGACATACAATTTTCAAACAACTCCTGGCACATAACCAACTCGCACTGTAGAGGAATAAGTCCGCTGTTGTCTCTGCTTGAACATGGACATGAGCTTATAGCAAAGGGGTTAATGTTAAGCTCCAAACCCCATGCACATTGCATTTTGACACATAATACAAGACAATACATATGTTTATTAAAGGAAAAAAGTTGTATTAGATTAGGACTGGCTAACCTACAGATCACAGATCAAACCCATCCCAGAAGAAAATTTCATCCAACCTAGACCTATTCTCTACCTCCACCTTTTCTGAAGACCCCTTCCAACATGAGGAAAGAAAGGTGCATGTGCTCAGCTCTTCCAGTGTTTCATAAATTATTTTCTCCCAGCTTATTTCCGCAAAACTTTGTAGATCCTTTCCCATCATGCAGCCTGATGCATCTCCATCAGCTGATGAGATTGCAGGCATCCACTGTCCAATTATAGGTGCATTTCTAGCCATGTGTTGGGAACACACATGTTAGAAGACAGCTTATAAAACCCATCATTTGAGAAGCTTACATAGAGTAATATAAACAGGCATATGAGATGCCTCCATCCTGTGACTCATTTCTGCGATGGACCACAGAATGGTAAATTTTAGTATGTTCAACTATTGGCAGGACTGAGTACTAATAACAGACTCCGGACTTGAGTCTGTTCTCAGTTAGGCTCCATTCCAAACAAACGGCCTACCTCTACATGTCAGCTGACAGGATCAAGAATTGATTGTGTGATACATCTATGCTTTTACACTACTTTTGTTTAAATATACTTACTGGCAAATTCATCTTCAATATCTATGTTGACAAATGGCATTTCTACCATCAGAGAGTCTATAGAAAAAGCAGAAGCACATTGTTCTTTTCTCTCTTCTATGCTTTCTTTATTCTCTTTAAAAATTTTCTTCTCCAGTACATTTTCCAGCCCATCTGTAATATATTTAAAACAACACACCGGGTCTTAGATTTCAATACAAACAACTAAGAGACAGTGCACACAGGCAAAGTACAAAGTATATGTTTCTCTGTTTATCAACCAATAAATACTGACATATAGCCCCCTTAAGAATGCTACTGTTCTTCCTGTGTCAGCACATCAGCAAAAACGCTTCAACACTGTGTGAAGTAGAGAGAAAGGGATTTCAGCCTTCTACTTTTGGTAACACATGTTTTTGTTCAGTTGTAAGTAAAGGCAAATATGTGCAAAAAAAATTTCACATAGAGCGTTAGAAGTCTTTAGCCGTCACCTGAAGTTCACTATAGATAACAGTAACAACAAACGAACGTCAATGTAGATAAACAACGACAAATGACTTTCAATATAACCACATGGAAAACGAGGCAAAAAGGAGCAGAAAGGGAACCTTCCATTTACATATAAAAACAATGAGTTCTCAGATGACTATATCATTCAGGAACGAGATGATTACTCTCTTCCTCTTCTTGCAGATATACACAGCACGGTGTGCTACAGACAACAGTGATCTGAACCTGTGGTTCTAAAAAGTTAAATTTTAGCATTTAAGCTAAAAAAGGAACCAATGTAACTCACAATTCATTTTGCATGTATAAGGATTTATAGATATACACATACACAGATCTATCTTCTAGCAGTACCACAATTAAACTAAAAAGCTATAAAAAGTCCCTCTGCACTCCCTCAAAGAGTACTAACTATGCATGAGTCATTTCCATATATAACTTATACCTTAAAAAATAAAATACTAAAATCTCCTCTAGCATATTTCATAAAAAATTTGGACATAATCAGAGATCCAGCAATATTCCTTTGGGACAACTCCACAATGGGATTACTGTAGTGGAAGAAGCGTTACGTCAGAATTCAGTTTATCACAGGACAGCTCATTACTACAGACAATACACTTTCAAAGCTCCTCTTGTGACCAGTGCCGATATTCCAAATCTGCCCCAAGGGGAAAATCTGGCAGCAAAAGTGCATATTATGTTCTCGTGGCATGCAAAACTACATTGCATGTATGCAATGGTACAGACTCAACCTGGGTTATTATCACCCTGGAGAGATTTCTTGCATATATCATTTTGTGCTAGGGAAGATAATTAATAGAACAATCTGATTAAGGGCTAACTCATTTCAGCCTGAAGTAGGGAGGCATAAATCACTCTGTGGTTGTAGCCTGACACCTCAAGTTATGCCAGAGGCTGTTAAAGAGAATAAGTATTTAGACTGGTTGCTAGTTCCCCCTGCAGACACTAAAGAATCATGCAGAACAAAGAGATTTTAAAGCAGCAATATATTTTTTGCCTAACATTTAGATTCAAATGCAGCTTACACAAAACAGATTAGAATCCCTCTATTGTTGCCGATTCACAAGCATACAGAAAATAACAATCCTTCCTTTAAAGAGATCACAATCTAAAAGACAAGACCAAATCCACAAAACAGACAAACAAGAAGGTCACTCTGCGGCAGTTACCAAAAAGATTCAGAAAGGCAAAACGATAGCCAGCTGAAAGCAAAAATCAACACTGAGGGTGAGGTTCAACATTGTGGGTTGAATCGATCTAACAGCTCACTGAGGCCAAAGGAGGTAGTCCTGCTCCCTTTCCCTGACCCCAGCCACATGCTGGTTAGTCTTCTGACTGCTTAAAAAGCTGAAAAACTCCGTCTGCTCACAGTAATAGCTTGGCATAGGAAGGGCACAGCTAGTATTTAACAACGGCCCTCCCCAAGTCAAGTACCTGAATTTAACAGGCACTGCTTCTAAATCCTACAGTCCCAAGGAAATAACTCCATCCCTCACCTTTTCTGAAATAAACTGTTTATGAAAGAAATCAGTAACAAAATTCAAAAGTTGTATTTTAGTCACTAAAACAAACCGAAAACAAGATTCTTCAAAAGTCTTGACATAATGTTGATAATACGAGACATAAGTAACAAAATCAGCTTCCATAGGAACTGCCTGAGCATCAAAACTGTCAAAAGATAAACTTACTTTTAATTCCATGACTAACTACATTAGCCTGAACTTCATATGTGAACAGGACTCTACAGTACTGTTATATTTGTATTTGCTTAAATGGTTGCTGTTTGCTTGAATATTTGAGTCCTCTGTTCCATTAGAATCAAGATACACCTAGTTCACAAATCAGAGAATAAAAAAATCAAGCAGCAGAAACGGCTGTCTTGCTTTTTAAAAGATAACTGATTGTATTCCTTTCCCAGCCTTTTGCCCTCTCAGATAAAAATAGTCTTCTATTATTTGACATCTACACATTAGAGACTACAGTGAGGTTAGGTCTCCAGGCACTATTCCCTTATGTTTAATAACAAATGAATCTTTTGGAGACATTTTAACTGAAAGCTGCTGCAGAAGAAGACCGTTTTACTCTCCAGACATCTTGAACCGCTGGTGCTAGCAATAGCAATTACACAGCCAGAGAACTGACTCAGCTTAAAAAAACTTCCTCTAAAAAAAAAAAAAAACTTTGGTAGGTTTAGTACTCAGCCAGATCGGATGCTTAAACTGACTGCAAGCCTGAGGACAGAGCACAGCAAGCACAGAAGATGAAAGCAGAAGCCCTTTTTAGCAACAGCCTACGACTGGACTGAGTCAATCTTCCCTGTGATCGCTACTACCACTGCTGCGAAATCTAGCTCCTCCTGGCGCTCAGTGTGAGGTGCGCAGGCATGCCTGTGCGCGCGCGCACACACGTCTTCGGATGAACTCCTCTGCACCATGTTTCACCTGGGTTTTAAAGCTGTGCGTAACTTGACCGTTACAAGGCGACGGCGCATTAACACACGTTAAAACCACTCCAGGTCACAGCTCGCCAGGACTTTCTGCTCCGCTGTTTATGATAGGCTGGAGGGTATTTTTCCCCTTGCTTTGGTTTCTTTTTTACATTAAGTATTCAAGTCCGGTCCAGTCTTAAAGAATATTTCCTCCTATTGTGTCTTATATTTATTCATTCTGAAAGTGGCTAATAAAAATAAGTACAAGCTATACGGCAAAGGCAGCTATTTCCATCTCATTCTTACGCACAAGAGGCTTGACATCCCAGGACAGGCTGGTTTTATTTTCAGAAATGACCAAGACCCAGGAACCTCATCCACTAATATTCTGAAATATATTTTAAGGCCCAACTAAGGCATGTAATCCAGCGCTTGTGAAAATTAGCCCCAACAGGACACTGGGAAAACAGAAGGATCTGTACAATAAGAAAGATTTCACAAATTCTTCTATTCTTCTTTTTACTTTTTCCCTTTTTGTGGGAAGACTAGGTCAAATGGAAGATTTCAGCGATGCTCTCTTCCAGCCACCCAAATAAACATGCTCCCATCCTCATTTCCAAAGCAGTAGGGTTGTATTTATCTAGAAGGGAGAGGTGTGACAGGACCCAAGCACCAAAAGCCACAGCTTCAGCTCGAGGCCAGATGGCAGAAATGGCCTTAGCTCTGCTCTTTAACCGCATCCTACTGCTGCTGAGTATGTTTCCCTCTCTCTCCCCCCATACCTTCGGCTGCTGGTAGTGCTCCATGGCCATGGTGATAACGTTGAGGCCGATCACGCCTGTGATGAACAGATCCAGATAATGGCTCGTGCACATCTGGTGGATCAGGAGCCGGAAGCGGGAGTAATCGGAGTAGTAGGGCTTACACTGCGCTTCTAGAGCCGGGAGGACAAGAGCGGAGAGGCACATCAAGTCATTTCTCTGCATCTGGCTACACTCAATTCACCCTCACTTTCCAGATGCCAAAGATGATAAACTCTAGACTCATTACAGCAAAACTCTGCCTTTTTTTTTTTTTTTTTTTTGGCTGAGCCATCCTATACCCAGTTGAAGGCATCTAGATATTGTGCACTGAAACAGGAAATATATATTTTTTCCGTGCGGAATTTAAACAAAATTTTTACTGCATTCTGCTAAACAGAATGCCCATAACTAGTCAGAGTATTTTGAGGTGATGACTCTTCAAATTAACCACTTGCACCTTAGGACTACTCAAAGAACTTTACAAACCAAAGCAATGATTTCCATCCTTTTAGCTGTGGTCCAGGGAGAACAGATAGTCTTGCATTAAACATCCATCCTTTATGTGGTCATCCAGCCTTCTAACATAGCTCTGGGCCACTCTTACCATTGGCAATAATGCTCCTACTGTGACTGCACAATCTCCTATTGGGAATGAACCTTTTGGGTGTACGTGAGAGGCTGTTTCTCTGAGGCAAAGGAATGCAAGACACTATTTTCCTACTTAAATAAAGACTTTGTGCCTCTTGGAAGCCAAATTCTGTTTCTACATTCTGTGGAAGAAGCCAAGCCAAATGTTGCCTTGTGTTTCTGCAGATCAGTCTCTGCATATAGACCAGATCTGAAGGAGCTGATTGTTTACATGCATATACAAATCCTTACTTTCACTTTTAAAGGGAGTAGGGATGGCAAAAAAAAAAAAAAAAGCCACAGAAGGGAGGAAGCTGCATGCACAAGCTGCATGTTACAAGCATTTATGTGTGAGTTTCTGTGTTTGGCTTGTCTATGCATTCCCCTTCTGGAAGATAAAATCTGTCTGGGGATATCTCACTGCTAGTTTGGCCTATTTCATGTTGCATTTGCCTTCACTGTCTTTCACACATGAATTTGGTCTGCACAGACCTATGGAGCCCAAAGACTGGTTGTGACACAGAAATCAAAGTTCTGTGTAATCTGACAGAAGCTTTAGTTAGGATAAGGCTGATGGCAATTTTCCATATTATGTGTTTCACCTAAATATCAGCTATCCTTAGGAAACTAAATGTTTTAAGTGGTCATCTCTTGAGTGAGTAAAATATGTCATAAAAATTTGATTCTATGAAGTTATAGATCAAATAACGGGATAAACTTTTGGTATTAGATGTCTTTGTAGAAATACAAATTTAGAAAATGGTTTTGGATCTGAA